TCCATTTGCAACCTCTTCTGGAGAACTCATTCTCAATACCTAGTAGAAGTGAAGATGTACACAGTAGCAATTCCCCTTCAATGCCTAAATCTAGATCAACTTTTACGGATATACACAAGGAGATATCAATAAGCCTATTCATTACTGCATTGTTTGGAAGAAAAAAAGTTGGCAGTAACTCCATATCCACTAATAGGATAATGGATAAATTAATGATGGTATATTCATAAAATAGAATCCTATAGCACAATTAAAATGCATTAGACATAGATCAACATGAGTCTGAAGAATATAATTTGATAAGAGAAGTAACACAAGAATATGTAGGAAATGATACATAAATTTCAGAAAGAGATTGTACATAGACAGACACATAAGCAGTAAAGATATGCAAACGTGTGGGAAACCTACACGCTAACATCAGGAGAGTGGTTACCTAGAAGGAGGGAGGAAGAGAAATGGGATCAGGGAGGGATATAAAAGTGCTTACAAGGTTTCATGTGTTAAAAAATATTGATGCAATGATGGCAAAGTGCTATTTTAAAAATTTGATCAAATAATACTTAGGTATATTACTCCTTATATTTTCTGTTTATTTTAAATATTTCATAAAGACATATACAAAAACTTTATACAAAATTTTCAAAATGGCACAAAGAGAAGAAAGTGCACCTGCAAGTGTAGTTGCCATATTGGGTGTTAATATAAATTGATTTTCTAAATATTTAGGCAAAACTTCAGAAGCTCCAATAATAACTAAATATTCCATAGCTTTGGACATCGCTAGGCAAACAAGTACTTGATTCTTAATCAGAACCTGAAATAGAAATGTTACATATCAGTTATCTTAGTTCACTTCATGAAAAGGAATAGACATGCCCATTCATATGTTAATAATTAATCTACAAAATTCACCTTTCCCAATCTAAACTGAAAAATTTGTGTGTGTATATGTATGTATTTATATACATGTATATAATATATATCCAAACAGAAATCTACAGTTCACCAATATACACATATACACATTTCATAAAAGATAGGTAGCATTTGACCATTTTTATTTTAATTTGCTCTTCATAACACCTATAACATTTATTTATGGGCTTGGAAGTTTGTTGGAAAGATTAGGGGGTGGGGGGGCCTTCTTCATTAACCAGGTTTCTATATTTTCCCTTTACTCTTGTATTTTCTTAGCAAGTCTTTTTATTTAATTAAAACACAAAACAAAGAATATCACTTTGTGGTTTGAAATCACAAACACTCGAGGAAAATCACTAGAATTGCAATCAAGATTCTATTATGTTTTACTCCTGGAATTCCACCTACATAAAGTACAAAGTTATTTAAATTCACATTTTAGTAAATTTGTTAAACTTATTCAGAAGCTTTAGGATGTGATGGTTGAACATTATCTATTATACTATTATACTATACAGAGTAAGTAACGTGAAAGTAAATTAGATTAAAATTTTAACTTTCAAACTAATTTCTGTATTAGGTATATATCCTAGAAAGGGATTGCTTGGGCATTGGGATTTAGCATACTTTAGTCTACTATTTCTCCAGGTTCTTCTCCAGAATCTATCAGGTTACACCACCGCCACATGTAAGAGAGTTCCATTTTCTTCATGCAGCAGCTTATACTTTCTAACATTCATCAGACTAATTTCTCTGGTTCAGCATGTCCTTCCAGAACCCCCATCAAGTGTCATAAACTTGAAAAGGCCTTATAACTAATTCAACATAGCAAGTGATGCTGCAGGACTTCTGAAGCTGGGTCATAAAATGTTAATGTGGCTTCCTCTGGGATCTCTCACTCTCTCATAACGCTTGCCTTCAAACTCAGTCACCATGTTGTGAGAAAGCACAGACCAGATGGAGAGGTCATGTGTGGGTGTTCTAGCAAACAGCCAGTATCAAAAGCTAATATTTGAGTAAACAAGCCTTCAGGTGATTCCATCCTCCATACTTTGACCACTCTGAGAGGAGCAAGCCCTGCCCAAATTGCATATTCATAAGCAAAATAGATTTTCTATTATTTTAAGCCACTAAATTTCGGGGTGGTTTGTCATGCAGCAATAGATAATTGGTACACCTCACATAATCACAAACACCTGATATCATTAGCTGGCTTTCAAAATTTCGCCATGCTGGCAAACATAAAGTAGTTCCATAATGCTTTATTTCGTATTTCTCTAATTTCAAATATAACTCAACATTTCTTCACATAATTCTTAGCTATTTGGGATCCTTTTTCTGTGTGTGTGAACTGCCTATTCTTATTTCTATTAGGCTTCCTGGAATTTTTGTGTAGATTTTCCAAGAATTCCTTATTTATTCCAAATATTAATCTCTTGGATTTAGATATCCGTTACCTTCTTATTAATGTTGTCTACAGTTTCCTTCATAAAACAGAAATCCTTGACTTGATATAATCTAATCCATAAATTTTCACTTCATGTTTTATACTGTTGCAATCTTGTTTAACAAACATTTTTCCAACTCTCTGTCACAGAAATATTCTTTCATTTTTAACATTACCTGTTAATCTAATCACATTTTATTACATAATATGAGGTAGAAATCCAACTTCATTTTTCACAAGTAGAGAACAAATTTGCCCTCATATCAACTAAGCAATTATCCTTGCAGTGCCTCTTTTATCACATAGTAAGTTCCTATATGTAATCTATTGCTGAGTTCTTTATTCTGTTACACTGGTCTATTTATCTGTACTGAGGAAATGTTATGCTGTTTTTACAACTATGGTTTTTGCAGCCTGTCTTGATGTGTACTAGACCCCAATGCTCTTTGTTTTAGCTATCCATGCCCTTATTCTCAAATGTAAATTTTAGAATCAATTTGTAATTTACTAAAAAAAAAAATTATTGCCATGCTATTGATTATACTTGCATTGAATTCATAGATTATTTGAGAAAGAAATCACATATATGAAAATAGTCATTTCATCCATTAACATGGTACATATTTCAGTTCATTCAGTCTTATTACTGTTGTATAGTGTTTTAAATTTTTTCATGAAGTTCTTGAATATCTCTGTTAAATGAGTTCTTGAATTATTTAGTTTTGTGATTACTTTTTACTTTATTATCTAATTTTAAATGTAGATTATTTTTCTTGAATATTTGTATTTATCCTAATAGTTTAGTTGTTTTACTTTTTATTTCATCTTTAATTTATATTTATGCTGTTCATTTAGATATAATTTAATTAGTGGATAATAGCTCTTTTGTAGGCCCTTCCAGTGCACAAATGTTTATTTATTCATTCATTAAAAAAAATTATTGAGGACTGAATATTAAGCACAGTTCTTACCCCAATGAAAGTTATAGTCATATTCTATTATTTTATATAAAAATGTCAGTCTGTAGTAACTGCAAAAGGCAGAACAAGGGACAGAAAATCTAGTTTTTCTAGTTTTTTCTTAGTTCTGCAACTGATTTTCAGAGCAAGGATAAGAAAATTACAATCTCTCCATATCTACTTATTAAGGAATATTATATTGTAGTAGATCAATGGTTTTAGGATCACATACAACAGATATTATACTCAATCTCAATTCAGCCTCCTGTATGTATACATATGAGTGTGTGTGTGTTTATGTGTATGTGTATTTAGCATACATGTCTTTGGTAAAGTTACTCATTCTTTTTAATCATTTTCTGTAAAATAAAACAATAATATCTATATTTTGGGTGGTTGTGAAAATTGAATATATGTACAATTTCTGGTACATAATAGGTGCCCAGTAGAGAACACCCATTGGTTTCATAATTTATGAAATCAGAGGATTGCACTAGATTGTTGTTTGCAAACTTTACCATGCCTTACATAATCTGCAGGGTGTAAAACACAGATTGCTTGTCCAGAGTCCTGATTCAGGAGGTCTGGAGTAGGGACTGAGAATCTGCACTTCTAACAAATTTCCAGGTGATGCAGGTGATGTTGTTCTGAGAACCACGCTGAGAATCGCTGCAGTAGACAATTTTTGTGTTTAGGTTCTTTCAGATTAAAACAAACAGACTCTGGTTAATTGACCTGACAATTTATCATAGTGTTATACAGGAAAGTAAGAAAGTCAAAATATTTTCTCAGTAGCTAAACAATTCAGCACTCATAAAATGGACATCATTCAGAATAAGATGACAGCTTATCTTGTCCACACAACAGCAAGTGTTCCATTGCTTTGTCTTGATTGCTTCAAACACATAGCTATTCAGCTTCTTTCTGTCAGCTTATTGTGCATTCATCTACTTCTCTTTTAACTACTGCTCTGAGAACCACGCTGAGAATCGCTGCAGTAGACAATTTTTGTGTTTAGGTTCTTTCAGATTAAAACAAACAGACTCTGGTTAATTGACCTGACAATTTATCATAGTGTTATACAGGAAAGTAAGAAAGTCAAAATATTTTCTCAGTAGCTAAACAATTCAGCACTCATAAAATGGACATCATTCAGAATAAGATGGCAGCTTATCTTGTCCACACAACAGCAAGTGTTCCATTGCTTTGTCTTGATTGCTTCAAACACATAGCTATTCAGCTTCTTTCTGTCAGCATATTGTGCATTCATCTACTTGTCTTTTAACTACTGTTATGGACTGAATGTCCCCCCCAAACTTATTCCCCACTGTGACAGTGTTGAGAGGGTGAGAAATCCTATTATGGATAATTGAAAAGTGAGGTCTTAAAAAGGTGATTAGATTGTGAGGACCATGCCCAAGTAAATGGGTTGATCCTCTGATGGTTTAATGATGGTCATGGGCATGGTCCTGAGGCTTTAAAGGGAGAGGGAGAGAGGAGTTAGCTCTCTTTCTTCCTCTTACCACATGATCTGCCTGCACCTGCTGGCTGCCCTGACACTTTCCACCATGAGTAGAAGCAGCTTGAAGCCTGCACCAGATGTAGCGATCCAAGAATCAGGAGCCAAATAAAACTTTTCTCTTTATAAATTACCCAGTCTCAGGTATTCTGTTATAGCAACACAAAAATTGACTGATACAGCTACTGGCTGTTCTCCCCACATTTATTTCTCCTCAATGGCCTTTACTCTTTCCTCTGTCAGTTTAACAAAGCTGTGTTGTTTGAATTTCTCTCTCTTCCTCCTGTCTATACTTTCCCAAGAAAGAGGAATTGACTAGATTAGTTAGTCACTCTCCAGCAAGGAATCCCTATTGGACATTGTTCTTGAGTTACGGTATTTACTAGGTTTAGGGGGAAATCTAAAGATTGCTCTCTTGGGCTCAAGTAATGAACCCAGACCTAGTTTTGGCTAGGACATTTGGAATAGATGATACAGAGCATGGCAACTAATGCACAAGGAAACACTTCTGGGCAGCTTATTCAGAAAGAAACTGGAAGCATAGCAAACACTAAGAATACCATAGATTCCCTTCCAATATGTATGTCCAGGTTTTCCTATTTAAAAAACAAATCCATTACTTTTCTTAGATATAAATATGGAGGGCAAAGGGGAAGACCAGATATAAATATAAGCATCTACATAGTTTCATGTAATGAACCCAGGCTCAATTCTGATAAGAGCTAATATACACAGGGAAAAATTTAATTAGTGCTGCATAGTAGCAGATAGTTCTATGCAACAGCCACAGTTGGCATTATATCATAATTTGAGTGGCAGTGATTTTTTTCTTAATGTTACATAAAATAACAGTATATCTCACAATTGATGGTGTTTTACATTCAGTGATATGTGGTGTTTTATCTTCTCTGAGCCTCATTTTCTTCAGCTAATAAATTCATATGCTTATGGTACCTTCCTCATATGAATGT